AGGTTCTAAGTAGAAGTTTTACAGGGTTTACTTAACCAGTTACAATAGGCATCACCAGTAGCATGACCCTCAGAGGAGTTTCATAGACCCTAAGAAGGCGTTTAAATCGACCATATTGTTCCATTGGAATCCAAAAACTTCCAGGAGTCTCCAAGAAAAGACTGATTTTCAGTGCGTAGATTGAGAACCGGGCTTCCACCCCCTCCGCCTCCGCACACGCCCCGCGCACTGTCCACACGTCCCGGGGTGGGGGGTGTCGACCACTAGTAGTAGTAGCACTAGTACCACTGGTAGTAGTAGCAGTACAGTGCTTGTTGTCCGGTTGTTTTGGGGGCGGGAACGACGGGGTTGCAGAATTTGTTTCTACCCCCTTGTAGAGAAAAAGAAAGAAGATGTGGTGTAACGGGGTTGCAGTTTTTGTTTGTACCTTGTTGTTGTTGTTGTTGTTGTTGTTGTTGTTGTTGTTGTTGTTGTTGTTGTTGTTGTTGTTGTTGTTTTTAATGTTTGACACGTTGCATCCTTGAGATTGTTTTGTTGGCTGATGGCGCTGAAAGCTGATCTAGTTTACAGTAAACCTCCCAATGTCAGGCCAGCTGGAAATAGGAAACCACAACAGAAAGCAACCGTTTGTGCGTTTATTCCACATCACAATCTACCCAGACTCTTGCCAGCACAAGTCCTCTCAGGACTTGTTTGTTTTGATGTCTCACAATTGTTTTGATCTTTTTTACAAGTCATTTACTTGATTAGTTCCTCTATCCTTTTTTGATTAATTGTTCTTTGATTAGTTGGTGCCTGTCTTCCAACGTGGAGGAAATGGTCGCTCTAATTTCTTTGGTTGATAGTTCGTGCCACACTTGGATTTGAGTCTGGCATCACACCAATGCACAGCCCAATTGCAAGTCCGGTGGTAAGGATTCTGTTTTCCTTTAAAAAGACCAATACAGAACTTTAAGTATCAGTTCGAATCCATTCACACTCGTGAAGATCGGCTTCGCAGCTGGTCCAAACCCCTGTGGCCGTGTTCTTGACTCGGGAATCATAAGAGTTCGTGGAAACCTGTTGCTGTTGCTCAAAGAAATTCCTGTCAGACACTTGTGAAAGATATGGTTCTGAACCACAACATGAAAGGATCCTCAACATCTTGCCAGGTTGGTTTTTGGGTTCCACCATGTTCCAGACGATGTTGCAGACCGGTTCGATGCAGATGTACGGGCGAGTCCGCGCCGATGTCACCCACATGTCGGACGTCAATGTGAACACAGCGACCAAGGTTGTTTTAAATGGTAGTGACATGTAGGGGCGATAGGTGGCCATTTATGTGTGTCAATCATCAACATCTCATATCCAGACACTGCAATGGACTGGTATATTGACGGGTGTGAGTTTGTATTGAAATAGGGAGACCTCCCACTTCGACCCCCTGCAACAGATACCAACTCCACTTGATTGAGGGTCTCCCGGTCTCCGTATTAAATGCACTCCCAGTAAACATTCCATATGTGGAGTGTTTGGGATACTGTTCAGATGCTAACTAGAGTCTGAGACATGTCGGCGGTCTTGCAAATTAGGATCAAAGAGACCAAGAGGTGCTATTCTTGGATCACTTCTCCATTCCAGGATTAAGGAGTCGACTTTATTAGGTGTTATCCAAAATTCATCTCAAGTCCATTAGAATCCATATCCACATCAACCCAACTGAGGCACGCAGGCAGCAGTCTTTTTTGGTTCAACCAATGGTTGCCACCGTATTTCTCACCTCAACAGGTTTGCACTAACTGAGCACATGACTGTCCGGCCACAGCTCACGCCGGTGTGCCTGGACGTCGTCACCCCCGCCCTTCCTTGTTCTCTCATGACGACGTCCACTGAACTCGGCCCCTTGACGGCGAGCCTCCGGCATCAAAAAAAGGCCTTCCCGCATCGTTCAGGTCAAGCGAGAGAGAGAGAGAGAGTTTTTGGCGTTGAAACTTGGGGGGTGCGACTGGCAAAGTTTCCCTGGATCATGTGAATCAACACGAACTCATCATCACTCTCATCATCGACCCTTTCATCGGTTTTCAGGGTAAAAGGTACCGATCTTTCATGCGCATTTCTGTGGAGTTGGAACGGCCTTCAAACCGCAGCATTTCGTGACTCATAGAGGGGCCCAACATGCTGAAGAAGTGGTCGGTCATGGTTCCGAACCATTGGCCTTCAAGTGTTACTGCTTGATGTTTGGTCTCGGAGTATCCAGCAGTTTCCTTGTCGGTCTCCTTGTTCAAATCCAAGTCATCGTGGCAAAGACAAACACATCCAGGGCCATCTGGGTCTACCACAATGATGCAATGATGGGGGGTGACATGCTGACCCAGTCTTGGGCTACCTGTAACAAGAAGTTTGTGGGTTTGTACTTTAATAGAGGGACCTCCCTGGCCCCATGAATAAAGTCAGTGTTTTTATTCTTTCCAGAGGTCTTTGGGGGTCTCCATAAATACACACCCTTGTCAGTTTTGAACCTTTCCAGGGCCCCTTCAGAGCTGGTCCACACTGTTTCACACACATGTCCACCCCCCCCACGCCGCACGCCCGTGTTCAGCCAAGGCAAGTGGCGTTCCTGGCAGCTCTCGAGAAGCGTCATTTGTTTTCGCTGCAAGTGCTCGAAGATCAGGGCTTCAACTTCTGTTCCGTCACTCACTTGCAAGCTCCGCTGGTCGGATGAGTGATCAGCTGTGTCCCGAAGAATCTCGCGGAGGTGTCCGGTCTCCATGGGTCAACCGACCGGTGTGTAGTAGTCATCAACTATATCAATTATAAGTTGAAACACATACATATCTTTTTGGTTCTAGTGAAGTGTGTTCTTTTCACGTGCCAAGGGATGTTCAGAAACTTGTGGAAGAAGGAAATCTTCAACCTCCCCCTGACTTAGCAAACCACAAAAACCACCATCCCCTGTTGATGAGGTGATCTTCAACCACCCGTTTGCCCTCCTCCCCAAAAAGGCCAACGAAGACGCATGACGCATCACGCATGGCTGCCGGTCGCGGTCACGGTCTCCCGGTGTCGTGACGAAGCGAGTCGAAGCCAGGAGCGCTCTGAGCTGACTTTGGCGCAAGCCAACCTGGAAGACCCTCAGATCCGTCAGTTCGTGGAGGAGGCACGCGCACGACGTGGCTTGGAGCGCATTCTTTGCAGGTGGCTAGGGAGACGAGTCCGTGTGACAGCTGGATATGGGTCTGTAGACGCCCTGAGGGTCCAGTGATGACTGGGCCAGAAGGCCCTGGCAGTGTTGGAGCATGACTCCCAGGTGGGGTAATTAGTTCGTTTCCAGAAGGAACCAGAAGCAACATATGCATATTACAAACATCACATGTATTCCCATGTTTGCTCCAATCTCCCTTGCAGGACGAGTCGCTTTTGACGTTCTTTTAGAAGAAGAAGATGTCGGACGTCCGCAAAAATGAAGATCCACAATAAGGCCCTCCGTCCTCTACAAGTTTGGACTGACAGTAGCTATGTATCCGTTAAGGATACGTGTCAGAAAAAACGGGACAACTTGCTCGACTTTCTAAATGGAAGCGAGTATTTGTTTTTCGAAGTTCTACACCCCGGAAGACTAACATGGACCCTAACACTCTTCCAGGAGGCCATTGTCAGGGTCTATGTTAGTTTTCGGGAGTGTATGTCTAAAATCTAAAGGCGACCACTGTGGCTTCCCACCTGCGCCTTTACTGTGGGCCGAAGGTACAATACGCCCTGGGTCCAGTTCTTGGGGCACTGCCATGCGACCATGGAACTTGAGATCCTCATGAAACGAGATGTGGCGCAAACCACGAGGAGGAAGACGCTACGAACGTAGCTCCTGGCATTACTAGTAACAAGAAGCTACTAGTAGCAAAGGGCATCGCTACTAGGAACAAGGACGCTACTAGTTCAGCGCCAGGACATGTTCCTTCATGAGCTCTCCAGGTGGCAGGCTCTGGGTGAGCGAACCAATCGAAGGAACCCGGTGACGTCGGTCGATGGGCGCCAGCCTTTTTTCCGGTTTGCTCGCTACAAGACACTCAAGACGTTGGGGGGCACCTTACTCTCCCACTAAACTGTTGTATTTGGTCACCTCCTTTTGTTTTTGTAGAAGGTATTCTGCTTCTCCGGTGCTTGGTCAGTGGCGCCCGGCCAAGATTCAAGAACTGCTGCCGACCAAAACGTTGGCTCACCCGGGCTGCATGATTGCCAGGCTTCTCCTCCTTGTTGTTCTGATTCTTTTGATGTTTTCATCCAGGTGTGAACCCAGTGAGCCCAGTACAACACTCCTTTTCTTGTTGCTCTTTCATCCAGATTCCATGTCAGGTCCATGTTTTCACCACGACAGCCCTAGAGGCGTTTGCGTCCTCAGGTGCGGAGAAGGACAGTGCGGAGGTGGCTCAGACCTTGGTGGAGCATCTCGAGGAGAGGTCCCGGGCAGTCCTGGTCCCGGGCAGTCCTGCAGTCGTGTTTTCATGCAGTCCTGTGGTGTTTTCATCGACGATCGATTTGGAGACAAGACGTTTTTGGAGCTGAGATTAGATATACACTCCGACGAACACGTCAGATGGAAGTGGAAAAAGAAAACCTGTGTGTGTGTTTTTGTTTTAAGACAAGTAGTCTTCCAAGAGACCATGCCATCCACTTCCATGTGATGTGTTCGTCAGAGTGTAGCGTCCATTCAAAATCTACGTATACAGTATGACAGGTATAGGACTCGTGCCAGCTCCAGACACTTCCTTTTGTTAGGACTTGTGCCTTGGGGTGGTTTCTAGATGGATTTCTTTCTACATGACCCCGTAAGCCCAGGAGCCAATGATGAGGTTTCACCACCTTGCAAAAGACAACTCATGGCCATGTGCTTGTAAGGTTTCCAACCTTAAAGGTACATCATGAGAGCAATGTAAGGTGTTTGGAGAGGTAAAAGCGAGAGCATGGTCATAGGGGCTATGGACCAATATGGACCCTCTACATGATACTCGAAAGGCCCTTGGTGTTGCCGTTGGAGCCGACAGCAAACGTATGAGTTGTGCATGAGTTGTGCATTTGCAACCTGAGGGTAGCAAAAGAAACCCTCTACTCAAGAAGTGGTTTTTTTTACAACCTCACCTGAAAAACAAAGCGAAACAAAAAATCAACACCATCCTGTGTCACTCTATTTTGGGTGTCCAACATAGACTACACTGGACCGGACACTCAGATGGCCGGATCATCGGATCAACGCCTCTCAATCGACCCATCAATCCCATCCCATCCACAGGAGACCTTTGCCAAGGCACGCTCCGGCAGCCAGGTCGTCGCGGAGGCGAGGCCACGCGACGCGTGGACGCAACGGAACGGAACGGAACGTGGTGGAAGCATCGGAGAGAGGTGGAAGGTTGGTTTCTTGAAAGATATCGAAAGACCTGTTGGACTGTTGGAACAGCCAAGAAGAAACAAGAACCGTTCCAAGCATGCAACTTGTGGTCTCGTAATACACTGTGTTTGTGGTTCCATCACACTCAGGAGGAGCAACGTCAGGGACAACATTTGCCCTTAAATACATTTGGCTGCCCCCAAGAGCAATCCAAGTCACCCTTCCAGGCAAAAGCATTGGCACTACCTGGACCCTCCAAAGTGGCATGGAAATTGGTGACATTACCCTAATGAAAAAACATGTATTTTTAATATATAATACTATTATTGTAAAGACCAAAGGGCCAGATATACCTGTGCACTCATTTTCCGAGGTATGTTCAATCTTGCACACATCCCCAGAAAGGGCTCCAAGCACATCCCCAGAAGCTTGGGTGGTCACCCCTTCCTAGCAAACGACCCACCCCAAGCGAACCACGTGCAAGGCAGTTGGATCGGTAGAGATTGTTGGGCAAGAACCTTTCTCAGATGGTCCCTGCATGTGTTTTTTTCAGTGCCCCTCTCAAGGTCCCCTCCATGTTCATCATTCTGGATTTTATGCTATCTTTGTGGATACAAGGTCTTGACCAGGTACACACTCCGGGTTTGTGTGAATATATCACGGTAGCTTTCTGGGATGAAAGGGCTGGGCCTTCTGACAAGCTCCGGCTAATCCGCTGCATTTATTTGCAGGTGCCTCCTGGTGGTGGAAGTCTGGAAGAACATCTTGAACCACTCAACAGAAATCCAGGTACTATGTCCAATGCCGCGACGCCGCGACGCCGCGACGCGAACGTACCATGGCTAGGCCTTGATGAAGCATATGGATCTTCTGGAGGAGACACTCAGCTGCAGGAAGGGGGTCTTTTGCTGGCTGTATCCAGTCCTTTCACACTTTAGATTGGTTTCTCACTCAACATGACATACATGAACCGATGGAAGGCTCAGGATGAAGGCTCGGTATCGGCTCGACGCATCCGGGACGTTGAATGCTTCAGCAGATCTGAGCAGCAATGAAGTAGCGTCATCTGACTGTGACTGGCTGCGTGTCGACATATTCAGGGAACACTCCAGGCAAAGTGCCTTCTTTTGGATTTCAAATGAGGCCTTTTCCCATAAAACCAAAGGCAGAACCTGCACCCATCTACCCGGGCATGCTCACAAATGTGCATTCGCATCTTGGTGTTTTCAACCACATGACTCATACCCAGCTTGAAAATCATTGAACATAATCATTGTTTGATTCCTAGGTCACCTGTCACCCTTTTTTCCACCAGCAAATCACCCAGTGTTTCAACTCAAAAGACAGGGTCTTTTTGGAAGAAGCGGACGTGGCCCTTCGATGCTCTGCAAGACTAACATAACTCTTCCAATAACAATTCCTTGAACCCGCCATGGTTAGTTCCGACAACTTCACAGTTGAGTTTGCCTCCCCGAACCAAACCCTTCCGGTTCGCGGACGGCCATCCACTAAGGCAAACCGTCCGCTTGGCACGTGCGCTGGCGGCACAGATCTCCTTTCGAGCCACTCGAACAAAGTTGGTTCCGCGGCCTTCGAGCGAATTGGAACATGCTTGAAGGGTTCCTGCAAGCAATTGCGGGGAATTGCCCAAAGCTGCTTGCGCCTCTTCGCGCCCGAAAGGAAGGTCCTGTTTCCCAAAATGTTGGCCGCGAAATCCAGCGAAATCTAGCCTATCCATCCCCTCGTCTTCCCCATGGAAAGTGTCAAGAAATCACGCTCCGACTCTTGTGGAACATGCCCCACCCGCCATGACCCTGGAGATCGTTGGAGGGAGAATTGGGGTCTCAAATCCCCTATCCAGTGCATGTAGTCACCACTAGTTCGTAGGTCACCAGTGCTCTCTCGTTCCGTTCGACTCCAAAACCGAGCGCAGAACGAGCGCAAAAGGGCTCCTGGCTCCTTGGTTCCTTACTTGCTCTAGTTGTTCTGCCTGGGATCCACAAGCTGAATCGAAGAAAAACCCAATGGCGCGTCACGCCGACTGAGGATGACCCAGTCGCAGTGACCCTGGCACAACAGTTGCTCTCCAACGACCCGTTCCAGCGGAATGCGGTCCTTCGTCTGGGACGTCTGATCAAGTTGGTGATAGTTGATGTGTTTTGTTTGTTTGTTTGTTTGTTTTGTTTGTTTGAAGACATTCAATATGTTTAAGTATGTGTGGTTCATCTGATTGTTGGTTGATTGTTTGGTTGGTTGTTTGGCTGGCTAGCTGGCTGGCTGGTGGTTGTTTCGTTCAGTTGATTATTTGATAGGTTTGGAACATGTCCGAATATGCCGGTTGAAGAAGTGTTTGGTTCACATTGAGTTTTGTAAGGTTTTCTATGGACACAACTTCAGACCCAACTATGTGGTTCAAGCACTTCTCTTCATGTGAGATGATGCCTGTCAAGCCAGTCAAGTCTGGTTTTTCCTCCAAGAAACTTGAGAGATAGGTAGTTTGACGAGTGACGAGTCGACTTGCCCCTTTGTGGCGGCCGTGGACATCTTTCACCAAATCACGAGTTTCTGCGCAAAACGAGTCCGACACCTGCTGAAACGCCCCACCATGAAGGGATGGTCGTGCAACGACCAGGGCCTCTTGGGGCTCACCAGGGCCTTTAGGCATACTGCTGGGTTTCGTCCACGACTGCTGTGTTGAGTCACTCTGCAACAAAAAGGCTGTTCTTCCGGAGAGACGAATCCCGCTCCAACCACATCAGAAGGCAGGAACAGACCCCCAACCAACCCCCACCCCAACCACTGAACCAAGCAAGGAGGTAGTTGGAGCTTGAAAGAATATATTGATCTCACGGCTCAGCTCATGGTGAAAACACTGCTAAAGCAACTCTTAGGCCATTGCTTTGGCGCAAGACTTGCTGGGAGGTGGGCTGTTCATGCGCGAAGGGGCAAAAACAGCCCTGGCCCCCGGGGCCCGTGTGGGCAGTTCCTGGCGTCGTGTATTCACCTTTCAATGTTCCCCTTTTCAAGTTCGCAGACCGGTTCAGGGACCCACATCTATGTGTTTTTGTTAATGTCCAAGACCACTCCTGGACTTCCGGAGGTTTCTGGTGGACAACTCATGGTTCTGCAGGAATCTGGTTCCACTTAAACTAGCTTCCGAAGGGTAGCCACTCAGCTTGTGTCCCAATTCAAATACATGCTTGCACTATACTGCTCATTGGGCGTAGCAAAGGGATCATGCATCGACCCATCCAAAAGTCCAAAAGTAGGAAGTTGGCCTGTTTCTTTTGGCGGTGGGGGTTTCACTTGTCAAGCCGCAGTCATTTTGCAGAATATTTCAAGGTTGGTTGGGTCACGTCTGATAGAATATGATTGGCAAGCAGAGGGCTATGGAAGTCTTGGATGTGGTGGAGCATGAAAGTGAAAGATCTAACTGATCATAACTGATCTAACAACATCCAAACTGGATGTTTCCAGCCTCCTCATACATGCTCGTAACCAAGTTGGGCAGACAGATCGTCATGCTCGTTGCCGCTTCAGCCGAGGTAGAACAACAGCGCGGTTTTGATGGGGATCTGATGGGATCTCCTTCGACCTTTTAAAGTGTTTTGTTGCTATCTCCACACAACTCCCAAGTTTAGCTTGTCAAGTAGCTTCATCAAGACACTAGTCCTAACCAAGTCTGAGATACCTCCTCCTCTTCCATGAAACGTCATCACCATTCCACCGGACGCCCGCCAGGCGGCCGCGACAGCCGCTGCAGTAGCGCGCGCACCGCGCCCCTGAGCAGCGCCGGCGAGGTCTCGGTCGCCGCGTCTGACGAAGCGGAGGCGCGGAGCGCGGCAGAGGGCGGCGGTTCACCAGGGCGTCGGCGGTTCCACTCGTTTTTGGAGATGGGGTTTGGCCATGAAAGGCCTTGACTTTGATATACTTTGATCATGTGTTTTATCATCCACTGTTACCAAGGAATAGGATACTGCCAATGTTCAGATCTCAAATAGGCTTCAAGGTCTCCGATGGTACTGGAGAAATGTCAGGAAACCAGGAAGAAGCAGGCAGAGAATACTCAGGAGCAGACCAGTTTGGAATCTGAATTGGTTTGATCCTCAGCCGACTCTTTTTAGGAGGTGCTGCTCCACTTTTGTTGGTCTTTGGGTGTTCAATTCAATGAACACATTTCTTTTGGATCTCAATGAGGTTAAGCCCAACGTGGAAACCCGAACGTTCTCCAGAAACCATGGGATCCTTCCGTCCCTTTCGCGCGCGCTGCGCAGCTGCGGACCATCACGGACCATCACGGGTTCAGCCGCCGCCGACGCTGATGGAACGGTTCGGTCGTCCCGCTGCAGGGAGTGAGTGAGACGAAGATCCGGAAGTGGACTCGGTGGTCCGCTTCCGGGTGTGCCAGCTGTGTTCACAGCGGCCATCGGCTGAAGAGAAGGGATGACAATTGCTGTTTTCATCTTGGATGACAGGCTGGAAAGACTTGGAACGGCGATTTCGCCAGTCCGTGGTGCTCAAGATGCGTTCGATCCTCGGATCGCCAAATAGGCCACTGTGCCACGCGACCGTGATCGGTCCGAGCACGAAAGCGGGACATCACGTCCGAACAACTGCCAAAAGGAGCCTCCCCCCCCAGTCATCATCATCACTCAGTCATCAAGAAGCATGAGAAAGGGAGGATCTTTGCAAGGGTTCGTAGAAGGTGAACGATGGCGGCAGTGATTGGAGCAATGGTCCAAGCGGCGATACAGAGGCCGCAGAGAACGATTGCTCGAAGGGTGAGACCTTCAGAGCGGCGGTTTGTGGTTGTTGGACTCTTTGGTTGCGGCGGTTTTTCCTGCGGCTTTTTTACTTTGGGAATCGGCAGATGGCTTGTTGAGCCCTGTTGAGCCGAGCTGTGACAGCACCTTTGGCAGATTTTGACAGCCCCGCCTGAGTTTGATCTGGTGCTTCGTGAGATTGGCGAGGCAGAGATATGCTTCTTCTGCGCGTTCTGTGTTCACACCGAGATGGAGCATTCAGGGTGTCAGACACTCCGCAGATGGATGTACAGTAGATCCTTCACCATACCAAGACGCGCCTTGTATACTATATTTTGCCTACATTGGGGTAGTTGAAAAGGGGTAAATGGGGCACCATAGAGCATTTAGATATATTAAGGGTCCACCAAAGGAGGCCCATACGTATGGCAGCAATCGACATTGAAGACATGATAAGAAATGTAACGGCCAGATGCAAATCAAAAGCATGTGCTCAATGTAAGCGACGCTATATGCCTGCCACTAGGAACAAGCACATAGTAGCTCCCGGCACTACTAGAAACAAGAAGCTACTAGTAACAAGTGCCACGCTACTAGTAACAAGTGCCTTACTAGTAGTAACAAGAAGCTAGTAGCAACAAGAAGCTACTAGTAGCTAGAAGCCTAGTAGCTCCTGGCTACTTACGTAAGGAACCGTTCGGACAAAAATCGCCAGACCTCGAACCGTTCAGACCTCGAACGTCCTTCCGTCCAGGCCCTGGCGAACCGGGTCTTTGCACAGCTCAAGGAGACCGAACCGGCAGGTCACGAAGGGCGGGTCCACGAGACGTCCGTGGAGTCTGTTGGAGATCAGTCAAAATGGGCAGACATGGTATAAGCCATATAGATCCATATAGCATAGTCATACCACGGTATAGTCATAGTACTACAGGCCCTATAGGTATATATATATAATTATAGGTATTTATACGCCCTCGCTTGATCGGGTTCATGTCCCAATTTTCCTGGATGCATCCTGGACCATTCAGCAAGCGAGTTGCACCGCAGCTATCACCTGGTAGACAACCTGGTGGTCACAATCCACCACGCAAAAATGGAATGTTTGCCCCCGCCACTTGTGAGTATCTCAAAGCCTGACTTGATGACTTGACTTCAAGAAGCCTGACCTGACATGTTTCATGGGCAGTGGGTGCGGCAACAACCAGGAGCACCGAACAACAACCCCTACTTTCATTGTTCATCAGTTGAAACGCCCCAACACCACCTGGACCTGAGGTTCTTCACTTCGTAACCGAACTGTTCTTCCCCTGAGGTTCGGTCGAACGACACCACCAGGCGTTCGGTCACACAGGTCACCGGTCATGTGATTCCAAAGTTCGGTCAACGAGTCCTGAAGAAGCTGGCAGAAGTGGGTTTTTGCCTCACGTGCGGAGCTGGTGGTTCATCCAAGCTGATCACATCTTCTTCACCATGGTGGATTTCACATGTTTCATCTGTCAAAAGAGATGTGTGATATTGTGTCATGACGTCAATGCCAAGAAGTTGGGCACCATGCAACTGGCATTCCTGTGTATCGCCTACACCCAGTTCGATGTAGCTCGCCTTTATGTACCCTTTTTGGAGGGAAATTGGGGATCCCTCACTCCACGTGAAAATCTTGCATTCAAAAGATCAACTGTTAACGCTTAAACCCTCTAGCGAAAGGAAAGGAGTCAAACTACGATCCCGGAGAGTCCAAGACCAGCTATTTGGAGGAAGCGAAAGGTCCAAAATTGTGTGACTGTAACTCCTTGCAACCTTGTCCAACAAAACTAGACACCCTTGCTTTTGATCAGCTTCTTCTTGTGGGATAATTTAATAAATCATAAAACAAACACACCCCATAGGGATCCAAGCACCTTATGAGATGGTGATTGGAGACACTGTTATGTAGGTTTTGAGGGTCCAGTCGTACCGAACCTGAGGTACGGTGGCAGTGGATCCATAAAGACATCTTCTTCAGATACCTTTGAAGCCGTTCTGCATGCGGTCTTCACCGGCCCGGAACCCCCCAGAACCGGACCCTTCGCCGGACCCCGAGGACGAGTCCAGTCCCGCCGCCTCCCGCGGCGCAACGCCGGAGCCAACGGCCGAGCCTCCCGTGCCACGGGGCTCAGCGCTGGCGGATTTTCTGCTGGCCACTTGGACGAGTGTTGGAGTGATTGGGGTGGCAAGTCTTGGAGAATGAGAAATTCAATTTGGTTTGACTTGTTAAACGTGTGTTTCCTTGCGTCAACATCGAGGAGGAGGAGTCGGATTTTTTGATAGAGTTGTTTGTGATCTCGGATTCAAGTCGACGGATTCCTGGAGAGATATTGATCCGTCAACCGCTGACGGTGTTGAGTGGACAGTGGACAGTCAAGTGGATGCATGAAGCCTGGTATTTGTGATACGCACCGGTTGCGTTGGTGTGATTGGCTGATGTTCCCCACGTTCTTAATCATTGTATATAGGGTTTCTTTGTATGTTGATTCCTATTGTATACGGATATTTTATATAGATTTGTATAGGGTTAATTGATGTTGCTTGTGTATGTTGATTCCTGGCAGGGAGTTACAGCACCGGTTGCTTTTTAGACTAAATCGATGCCTACCCAGGTGGAGATCAAGTGTTTCCCTCGAAATAGATCCTTTCATGAGAGAACCTGCAGGGAACTTGATTCATTGTTAGTTTGAAGGACTCCTTCAACAGATCCAAGTGCCTTTCCAAAGAAAGCTTGATGCCTGCTTACAAAGGTTTCTAGGGAACCACTATCAAAGGTCGGACTTGCGCTCCCAACACGGGCTTGCGCTCCCAACGCGTAGTCGGGCAAGCACTGGTCAATAGTGGTAGTTCTAGAGGTAAAATACCATTAAAGAAAGGCTAAGGTAGTGCTCTGGCTGCTGGAAAAAGACAGCTAAGAGTAATTGGCAAGTACAATGACATGAAGAGTTGAGATAGTTGGGGCAGGTCGCTTGAAGTTTAACACCTTTCTTTGCTTGCTTGACCATAAGTGTTTGATGGTCTTTGTTTGATGTAAGCATGGCAGCATGTCTAAAGTAATGACCTTCGACTTGGGTTCTACGTATAGAAGCGAGCATGACGTTGACTTTTTGTAGTATGAGCAAAGACTTGCACATCTTTTGCAGTAGAATCTCGATTATATAGTAACCACACCAATTTAGATTAAACCTCTTCATTCATACACTATGGGGGATTAATCAAGACTATACATGATGTGGATCTCTGCAGAAGATCATCCATTTTGGATCTCGTCCTTGTGCAGCAGAGCTTTGCCTCGAGGTCTCGCGAGCTTTAGCAGAGCATGTGCTGGCTCGAAGCTCTTCGGCTGGAACTTGTCTTGGGGAGATCAAAAGCCATCAACTTATCTTCCGAATGCAGAACACCACTCACATTGTCAGTCATTCTTCCGAAACAAAAAAAGAAAACGACACCCACCGACCACCGCGTTGTTTTTCACACACTTGAAACACAAACAGCCATGACCTCTGGGACTGGCATATGATATGACTTCCGAGTTTTGGGCTTTATGGCTATATCTTCCATATACCAGGACCTTCCAAGCCCGGTGGTTTTTTGGAGACCACCTTGACCTCTAAGAGGTTATTATGTATAGACACCTAATATGGAAGGTCCTGGTATGGAGTATCTGGTGCCGAACCTGAAGAGGCCTTGCTCTTCATCGCTGAGTTGGGACACTTCGTGTGATCTTCCGGTGACCACCCGGCTTAGTTCCCTCGCATCGTGTTGTTCTTTTTCCAGGGGAGAGGACATACAACCTTAGTTGTGATCTCTGACCCAACCGTTCAAGAAGATTCCACTACATACCAGCCTCAGGCCCGCTCCGGTCTTATACCAGTATAACGGTTTTCCTGGTTTTCCTGTTATCTGGAGCATCTGGGGGAGCTCGACGTAGGGCACCGAAAACGAAGATCGCCCTTCACCCCGCTCGCGCTTCGTACGGCGAGGCGCATCTCCAGCGAGTGAAGGCTCCACCCTCGCCTCCCAGCTGTTGTCCTTGTGCGAAGATCAGATGGATGCTTGGGAAGATAGAAGAATCATATAGTGGATTTGTCCGGGCAGGTGAAACACCGCACTGAACGGGCCGAAGGGAAGATGCGACACCAGTCCATTGGAAGACCCCGGATCCAGTCGTAGCTTCTCAGTGGAGAAGGTACGACTCCCATGAGTGGACCCAACTGCCATGGGGCCTGACACGGACCGCAGAAGGATGCAGAAGGCGCAGTTCCCTGCAGCCCCTATAGGGCCGGCTGAAAACACATCAGACCCTGGACCCGACCTGACCCGACCACTTCTGGAGGGTTTTGATATGTTTTTGATCCTGCATCACAGGGCTTTGGACGCCTCACTCAACCTTATATCCGGCTTGAGAGTCCATGATTCTCAGGGGTGTTCCATGACTCTCATGGGATGTTCACCTTAGACACGGGTTGACTGAGACATGGAAACGAGATGATGTGATGATCCTTCACCTTGTTGAACGATCGCCGATCGCCCTGCCCTACCAAAAACCGGGCACGGCTGGGAATGGATTCCATCCGGTCATATCCGGTCCTTCCACTTGCATGTACCGGAGGGAGAGGGGGGCCAGAGGGGTTGGACCTGGAGTGGCCTGTGTGTGTGAGAATTCATGTTTTAACATCAGATGTGGAGTTAAGAAGAAAAAACAACTTTTGGAGGTAGAAAGGCTTTTATGCTAAACTTCATTGATCTCCATTGTGTTTTTGTTTATGAGTGTAATAGTATACACGATTTCATTAGCGCTCCACTCCCTTCAAGTCATCTATCATGGTGGATGGGCGAGCGTGCAGAGTTTCAAAACATGCTTGTGCACCCTTCAGGATGTCGCTCGTGCCCTGGCGCGCCACTGGGAACTGCAAGCTGCATTGCCAAACGCTGAGACTCGGCACTACCCCCCGAAAATGGTCTCTTTTGGTGTTGAAAGAGTTTTGGGTTGTCTTCATGGACAGGAAATGATCAGCAGTTCTGTGTCGTTATGTGCTGAACGAGCCCTTTCAGTCAGTCGGGATGCCCTTTAGAAAAAGAACCGCTCTGAACTTAGGGGTCTATATAAACGGCATCCTGGCATGGAACTCTTTGGTGTGTTTGTGTCCCTACACCTCCAAGTACCTCCTCAGAAGGGATTTGGAGCCTCCAAAGTCACCTCAAACACCTTCTCAGAAGGTACTTGGAGGCCTAGGGTGTGTTGTTGTTTGCTTTGTTTGTTGACTTGTACATTTTAAGTATACTTTATTGTTGCTACAACCTTTGCAGTTTGACGAGCCTTATCGCTGTGTCGGTTTTGTTCTTCAAAGCTCCTTTGTGTTTGTATAGCCACTGAACCCGGCATGAATGAGCGGAGGGATTGCCCAATGGTAACCATGACTCATGGTACAACCCTTGAAAGACCATCCTCATTGGTTATACCAAACCAAAACCCTTGAAGTCATTTGCTCATCTTCATGGTACAACCAGCCATCTCCATTGCTTCTCCATGGTGCCCGGACCGCCGTTGCGACGCTCCAAGGCGACCGGCGTTCCGCTGGGGACGGGACAGCCGGCGCGCGGCCCAAGCCCTGGTAGCGCGACGGCGGTGCACAGTGCTACGACCTACCGAGACGCGAGTGAACCAGGAGCGCTGGCAGGTCGTCCGGTGCTGAGACAGTCAGGACTTAGGAAGTTCCAGCGATGAATCATAGGATTGGTTTATTTGGGGTTTCCGTGTTCCATCCCTAGTAGTCAAAAGTGTTGAGACTTCTCCGGATGGATAACCAAATATGATTGACTAGATGTGAAGAGCTCGACACGGATCATTCTGGTTGACTTTGCAGCAGGATAAGAGGTGGGGTTAGTGGATGGGTGAGGCTTGGAGGTGTTCCAATGACATGGCCACTGCGATGTGCGAGAGGGATGGAAATGTTTGTTTCTCACTTTTTCAGCTCCAAATGGAGCGCTTCTCGGGTCATGTCGGGCGCCTGGAGTTTGAGGGACCTTCTGCCGGGTCTACGGCGCACGGCCGGCACGGCTCCCAAAGCCAAGTTGATTTGCCTCTGTGGCTGTGACTCAAAAAGCAGAAGCCCGGGACCTCCAGCTATTAGTCATGATATCCAGTTCCCCCAGAGGGTTGGCCTCATATCACGATGTTTGAGCCACAGCCAGTTGCCTACCTTGAGCAACTCCAACAGACTCCGTCCCTGATCCGCTTCCACTTGAGCCAGCAATCCTTTGGGGCGCGTGTGTTTTCCAGCGGATCTTTTGGGACAAAGCAACCTGGTCAATTCTGTGGGAACCAACGGCGTCGCTCTCAAGCGTGGGAATCAGGTCAGCATGTTGGCGGGTCCATGTTTTGCGGTACATATGATTACCCCTGGGGCTGCAGCTACCTTCAGAGAAGTACTTACCGTAAGATGGTTGTTGTGTCCAACCACCTTTGAGGATATGGGACAGGATGAGTGATTGACAAATCTGTGGTTTGGGTTGGCTCCCCCCTGTGCCATCGCCGTTGATTCTGACACGCCTCATGATGTTCCTTGTGACATTTACAGGCTGGCTGCCTGGCTTCTTCCAAAAGCATCCCAAGGCTGGTACAGTACATATCCGTTACAAGAAGACTATTCATTGTATATATATATGTATATCCCCCCAAACGCCTGAAGAGAATGTTCATTCCAAAGTCTTTTGTTGGTGAAACATCCTGCGGCCGCCCAGGCTGCCGGGACTGCAGGCCCCCAAGCCTCTTCAGAGATGTCTTTTTCATCCATGTGACATGGGGGGATTCATCAAGAGTCTACCCCAGGAGACACCGAAGCCTATGCACTCACCGCTCGGCTCTTCAGCGCTGGCAGTGACACCTATGCCGAGCCAACTGCGGACTCTCAGGGTGTAAACTCGTTGACGGGTGGGGTCGATCAACTCTATTTTGACTGTTTTCCGGTTCCATCAGAACCTACCTAGCACTTCCTGTCCGGGTGCCCTGGAGTAGGAGACCTGTAAACGTAGGGTAGGGTAGTCGAACGCCAGGACACCCAGACAGGATGATCCTGGTATTTGCTATCATATTTGGTAGATGGTCTCCACCAGGGTCATGGCGTTCTCCTTTCCTATTTGTGAATCTCGTCATGGCCTTCTGAACGCCAAGAAGATTCTACATGAACATATATGAACATGCATGCAAAAACAATCAAAACCACATCAAATCGATCATCTTATTACATTGACTGGTGTAATGTGCAAGATGTGCTTAGTTTTCATGCCGCATCTAGGACATTATCGTTTTGGGTTTGTGTCAAACTGAGGGGACACCTCCAGCGTCAGTTTGTTTTTGTTCTTTACATTATACTTCTTTTACTTAGCCTAATCCTGGAGAGGACCACCATGAACCACTTGCCAGGGTCTATTTTGCTGCAGATTGTTTGCCCATTGTGTGTGATGTTTCCGTTTACGATCCAATCGCGCTTGCCCAAGGAGCCAGAGGCACTTGAATCTGATCCTCCGCCAGTACCTTGACAAGAACAGTCGGCTCAGCCAGGAGCTCTTCTTCTGAGTGGTAAACATCACCCTACAAGGAGGCTTCTCCTGTTTTGACGTGTCCGTTTACTCACTACCCGCTTCCTTCAATGACCTATGTTGTTGTTGTTGTTGCTGTTGTTACATGTCAGGATGGCCCTTTCACGTTTACCATGGTATTCCGGACCTATTGGACGAAGGCCTGAAGCCTGAACGCCCCAACCTAGAACCTTCCAATTGGATGAGCCTAAAACTTCCGTTTTGAGCCTAGAACTTCCAATGACTCATTTTACCCCACCTGGAAGTCATGATCCACCACTTGTTACAGGGTAAAAAAGATGTAAAACGAGTCATGACTGGACTGCCGGGGGAACATGAAGGGATCAGGTTCGGTACCCTCAGTTACATAAGAAATCAGAAACATATAATACAGCCATTGATAGGGTTAGGTGAAATATAATGGATACAGGCCCTCAGGGCCAGCCGTATCTTGCCTTCTTGCTGAGGTTCCGGATGACCTGGAGATGGAGATGCAGGATAGGGTGCTCAACATCGAATGGATGAAGGAAGGAAGGTCACCTCCTGTTTTGAAGAAGACCTGGAACTTCCTGGAAAAAACACATTACAACCTGTTTGGGACTGGCAGTCCTGACATGTCCTGACTCCGGATCAGGCCATGGGTGGTTTGGTGGATCAGTTTGGGCCTATTTGGGCTTGGTTTTCCAGGTTGGTTCTCCTAGTAACTGCTGGTGTTGAGCATTTTTCCGTATGAGCCCCCCAACTGGTTGCTACGAATCTTGCAGGCAAGCCGCTTGGGCAAGTCCTTTGAAACACCGGCCGGTCACGTTCTCATTTTTGGAGGCTCAGTATAGTATTTGAGATGATGACTCAAACTTTTGCTCGCTTTCTTCCAAAGAGTGGCCAGTCAGGACCAGGCAGCGTTCAAGTGCAGCAGGGAGACACCTTCCTGAGGCTGTCCGAACATGATCCCTCGATCATCATCTGCTGAGCACTGAGATGGGGTCATTAAACTCCCCATCACTGAGACGGGGCCAGCTGAAAGCAGTTGAAGAAAGCAGTTGAACTCCCTATCACTGAATGCATCAAGACAGACTTCCCTGACGAATCCCCCCAAGACCACGGCCCCTCTTCGATCACGGATCACCGCCTTTTCGTGCGGCCCCGGATCACGCGGCGCTGGCACAGTGGATTGGATCTGCCGACCGAACCACAGCGGAGCGGTAGGGCAGTTGAAGCCTAGGACGCCTTCCGACGAACCCCAAATCATGTAAACATCCTTTTTGTTTTTACATATTTACAATGCGTTTGGTTGACGTGTAACACTGTAAAGCAAGGGCTTTTTGATGCACCTCAAACAACAATGTGTTCACTCTCCCATCCTCTTCAGGTCAGCCCGGTAGACGCCGGTAGACGCGCCGCCCTTTTCGCTCCTTGCACCGCCCATATCGATTGAGTCGATCGGCAGGACACGGTGAAGCCGAAGGTCACCGAAGGGGTCACGGCACTTCTGCAGGACTTGGAGGATCGCGCGAGTGGGACGCGGAGCGCGCGGAGCACGGAGCGCGGAGACCGGTGGAAATCCCTGTGTTTTTCAAGCCACCTCCACGGATCAAATTGGAGGAGTGTGAGAATAGAACCAGTCCTTCAAGTGGAAGATCCATATATGTTATCTACAGTGCAAGCATTCCATAATATTCCATGAACAGACCATACAGGTGAAACACGTGTGACACATAGATTTAGAGGACAGCATCATAAATACATTTAACACAAATAAAAATGCAGTGATGAGGTGTATATATATATATATTACCTGAATATATGCAATAAGGAGTTATATCACAATTAACACAGCTTTTAAAGACAATGTACAGCTGTACAACAACATGAGAACCACTGCTTTCCCTTCATTTGTTTGGTTGGACCTCCTACACTTTACTATAGTGATCGATATATTGGACAAAGTACGAGCATGACACAGTCTGAACCCTGAGCCGAACATGGACCCGGACCTGGACACGTTGCGGCAAAGCGAGGCCTTGGATCGTCGACTGGATGGTGATGAAGCGGTCGAAGCGGCTCCACACGTGAGGGAGCCGTGGCAGGGGCTGTTTTCGGCAGGTGAAGATGAGTGTGAAGAGTGGCAGGTTCTACAAGGCGTAAATGTGGACTCTTGATTTGTTCAAACCGACCCATTTGAATTGGACGTCCTCTTCATCTGTGGGGTTTATGGTCCTCAAGAGTCTACATGCTACATGATCATGATGCTTTTAATCCATGTTCCTCTCAACATAGCGAGACTTAAACTGACCCTACACCTCCAGTCGTACCTCCAAACCGGTTCGGTATGACTGGACCCGACCCTGGCACCCACCCGGGCCCCCATCGCCCCACCGAACCGAAGCGACTTTCGGGTCGACGACGGGTGTGTCGGCCACGGAATCGGGTGTCGGCCATGGCATCGATTCGAGGGCCAACACCGTTCGGGACGATGTGGTTTCACAACGTTCGGATGTGTGACGGCTCTGGCGTCTCGAGTTGGTCTGTGGTGTCGTTGGTGGCTCAGGCCACGAGTCCGCGAGTTCGCGAGTCCACAGCTACCCTCCAAGGACCAACACGGAATTCTTGGAAGGTGGAGACTCAAAGTAAACTGCCATCAAAGTAAAGAATGTGAACTTTAGGTAGCTTCTTGTTACTAGTAGCGATGCCCCTTGTTACTATAGTAGCAACGCCAGGAGCTACTAGTAGCTTCTTGCCAGGTGGTCAAGGATGCTTGTTGCTGCTTATTCCCCATCCGAGGAAACTCCATCGCCGGAGATCGCGCGGGATGAGCTTGAGCTGATCGTGGCACGTGTGTTAGCGCAACATGCAGCGTGTCCTTCCAATTGAAACACTAGAAGTCTGAAGGCTTGAGAACGTCGAACCAACAAATGTCTTATTAGTTCTTATTAATTCTTGCTGTTTTGTACCTATATTGGTGTGTCCCGTTGCCTGTAACCGTCGATAAAATAGAGTGTCATTCTGTTGCAGAAAGGCCTCGAACCCACGAAATTCATCGGTCCGCTCCCTGGGAATACCTACGAGTTCCCAGTGTCCCTATCAGGATCCTCCTGGGACCCAGGCCACAGCTGTTTGGCCCAACTTACCAATTCTGGTTTTGCTTCTGGGGAACATTTGTCCCTTATTCACCTTGATCGCATGACCTGTCCGACAGCGCCAACTCCTGGACCTGAAAAGCCTCCGAAGTCCAGAGCAGGGGATCTATACATACAGACCAGAGGTGTTTGTTCAGACCGTGCTACCCAGACATTTCAGGGACCACTCAAGGCAACCAATGGTTCCAAAACCGAAGAACGTCAACCCCTGAGCATCGAAGCTTCCTGGGACCCGCTGGATGTTCTTTCCAGCTATTCCTCTATCTACCACAGAAGTGTCCGGAGGGGTTTTGTACCATTTGTGAACCTGACCTGGTGGGGATTTTCCTTATTATGATTATGAGTTCCTTTCTTCCAAGTCGGAGGATTACGTTGGGAACATCCGCCAATGCATTCAGAACCCCGACTTGGCGACTTTTTCCATGTTGTCCGACCCCCAACCAAAGAACAAAGTAAACTGTCAACACTCTGTCAGATAAAATCAACAACATGTGCAACTTGTAACAGTCATGACAAGTCATGAATGTAGGATCTCGGATGTCAAATCACTCACCCACAAATATTCCTTCCTCAAATACCTGTTGGTTGTGCTGTCATTGCGCTTGGTCAAAAGCAGTCTTTAGAATTTCAGAGGTTCGATTCTGACCAATAATTGTTTGCTTGATTCCTTGCTGGTGTGCCCAGCCACGCTCCGCTTTTCCTATAAACTGTCTTTGCAATTTTGTGGGTTTTGCACTCCCACGGACGTGACATGGTAAACACGATGCTCATTCACAAAGCTTATCTCTGCTTTCGGCAAGGAAGGATGCCCGCAAGGTATCCACCAGGTACCAGGTGTAGAAGTGCCAGCCCTTCCCAGCCTTTCCAAAGAGAGAAGGCTGTTCCAGCGTGTTTAGTGACAAGAACTGCCAAAGCGGGGCCTGTGTAACATCTGCGTTGAAAGAGGATCAACATAGTTGTTGTCCTTGTTTTGAGCAGTGTTCTCTAATTTCTTGCACGATGGCTGGACACCCAAACTGTCCGTTGCAACCACATGCAACCACCATTGACCTAATTTTAGACTACAAAACCAGGTCAACGTGTTTGAATGGTCTCGGAAGGCTACTTGTTCAACGCGGAACCGCAGGTCCGATGCGGTTCTTTTGGCGCTCGCTCCTAAGGAGCTTGGAACGATGACATCCACAGAAAGGAAAACAGAAACCACGCAAAGCCAAGCCACCACCGGCAGGATCTCCAACCCTCCAGGTGTTTCCCTCAGGCCCTGAACCGATTTCCTTGTTGACCTTGGTGGGATCTGAAACTGCCAAGAGGGTATGATCCACAGGGAAGTTGACCCGTGAAAATAAATAGAATAGATCTTAGTAGACTACGAGACATGGTCAATCTGGAAAAATGGAAATGACTTCGGTGTTTGGACGCACAGCGTTCAGAGAAACCGAACTGCCTCTTCGATCCTTTCAGGGAAGTCCTTGCAGTGAAAGGATCGTACATCAAAGGATCGACTCGAAGAGAGGACGTCGCATCCTTCGATCGCTCAGATCAATCCCCTAGGGATCCACATACTCTTTGAGAAGGTACGACTGGACCCTCCAAACCTACATCACGCGGTCTCCAATCACCTTCTGAATAATTTATTATCCAGTCTCATAGCCAACTGTTTGAGTTGCAACTAGCTGCTGAGATACGCAGATCGTTTGTTTCTGAGCATGGTTTTCTCTCTCACATCTCACCTCATAGCCTCACAGCCAACGGTGTGTGGGTGTGTAGATGATAAGTAGCAATTGGATTGGCGACCTGGGAACCATGCAATCGTGCCTGACCGCTGGGCCAGCTGAGCTGGTTGTTGCCTGTCCTGAATTGCTAAGGTCAATACTCTGTCCGAAGTCTTTACCACGTACCAGGAGGAAAGGGAAGGTTCTTCACAACACACCCGACACGAGCTTTAGCGTGCAACTCACTCCAGAAATCCACAGCATTCTGCCTTTTGTTCACAGCACATTCTCTGGATCCGAGTTCTGTTGTGCAGTCCACGTGTTCAGGGCACAAACCGAACGCCGAACTTCTTAGTTGCAGTACGTCAAGTCTGCTTTTTGCTGGAGTTTATGCCACCCTCCTTATGAAGACTGCAGCTTTGGGCTAGGCCCGCTAGTCTTCAACCAACGGTGATGGGGTTCTTTATTTGGATATTGAAGATATTTGTTTCTCGCGCCGGAGAGTGACAAGCTGAGAACCCGCACCCTGAGAACATCAAAGCACAACAGCTGCGAGCCCGCCTTCCTCCACGATTTGATGGCCGAACAACGGCGTGGCGATCCTGATCTCGCCGGGTGTTGTTTGCAGGATTTCCTCATGTTTCTTCCACTAATCTTGCTCCAAGAGACGAGACTGCGAAGCGGTCTGGGGTCGCGGCATTGGGCGGAACCTCAGATAGCTTCACATCCGATTCCACAAGCATTTTCTGACTGGTGCGACTCGTAGGGAATAAGGGAATGAGCCCCCAATAGAGATTCTATTGGATCCATGCCCTCATTCCCTGCTAAGCACCAGTCAGTTTGTTTGTCAGTTCATTCAGGACACGCCTTGTCCTCATCTTGGAATACCAAACGACGGGCTTCGCTTTGAAAGACACTCTGCTGAAGCAGCCTGCCCCAGGACGTGCGACAACGGATTCTGAAGAAGTTCCGAGAACAAGTTCGGCGCTCATGTCCGCGGGAAGTATGTTTTTTGAGGGAAGACCTTGCTGTGGTCATTATAGCCTGTCCTTCCTCCTGTCCTTCGGGTCTGTTGAAGCATGCCCCTGTGAACAAAAACATTACAGACATATATAGTAACTGCATGGGAAGGGTGGTTGGGCATCTTGAGTGGCCAACGGATACACCGAAACCAAGACAACGATGCAATAGATTAGAAGCCGGTCCTGGACTGACCCTGACGGCCCCAAGACTGTGTACATGACCAGAGGCCTTGAAGAATGCGCGAGTTCAAGGCGTCCCATGCATGTGAAAGGCTACTGTATATGATTTGCAAGATACACTCCTGAAAACTAACATGGAAGTGGAAAACATCCTGTTTGTAGAGGAAAATGGTCTTCCAAGAGGCCATTGTGCACTTCCATGTTAGTTCGAGGGAGTGTATCCCTCACCCTTGCTATTCCCTGCGCACTAAAGAGTGTCCGGCAACTAACAGAACAGCAACTTAGCAGGCGCAGACATTTTGCACGTTCAATCGGACATGATCAGGTGCAATGCTTTTGATTGCCATGTGCGCACAGCAACATTCATGCTCACAAGCCACTCTCTGAAAACTGTCTTGGAGCTACATTCTCATCCTACGGTATTCCACTGGTTGCAACTGAAGTGGCATTCCTGGTTGCAATATGCTGCAAGTATGGGAGATCGTTTGAAAGTTTAGTGCAACTTCTTACCCAGCCAGAGCTCGATACCCTTCCAATGACCATCCGATGAACCTGGCAATCTTGCAACCCCCATCTTCGTTCGCATCCCCTTCCCTTTAAGCTGTGGGGCTGAACACAGCTCCCTTGCTGCTCACAGCCCGCCGCGCCCGAGCCAGTTCTTTGGCTCTGAACACATCGAATGTAGCTTTCGGCGCGTCTGTGACAGCCGACTCGCTCCAACTCACTTTCGCTGCGCCGGAGCTCCAGAGCCCCTCGGTTGGCGGGTTTGGATGGGCGAAGCGGGGGGGACCGGAAGATTGGCCTCGATTCAGGTGGTTTTTGGTATGATGTTTTAAGGGTCCATGTAAGCACATATATTCCCTAAATGGTTCGGGTTTGGGGATCATGTGTTGCGCAGAGGGAACTAGGCATGGTCGCCTTTAAAATAACATTGGTGTGGTGTTGTGTGAAACCTCACACATCGACCTGTTTTGTTGCTGCTTTGGCTCAGAACCTGGATCTACAGCCCATCGCCGAAGCTTCACAGAAAGGATGGTGAGGGTGGGCCTGACACTCCCCTGTGTCGACGCTCCCACTGTTTTGGGACCTGTAGTTCTTCAAAGCCAGGGGTACCCTGACCCGGAATTGACCACCAAGAATGAACAGCACTGACTATCAGGCCAACCGACCTATTTAATCAGGGTGCACGAAACTCCAGGTTTTGAATGGTTTTAACACAGCCAAATGGGTGTGGACTGCCCTTGCTCACCCGTTCAATCGGTACTCAACTGGTGAGCAGTTGAGTGCCCCCCAAAACCCTTTGGCCGGCTCCAAACACAGCCGCGCCTGGACGTTTCCTCCGTTCCTTTCGTTTGGCCTCGGCCTCGGTGACCGGCCTCGGCCACACCGCCATCAAGACTGGTTCAACTGGGCTTCGTTTGGGTGGACGGTTCTGCAACATTACCTCCTGAATCTGCAGAGATCTGCAGAGTTTCGATTTTGGTTCCACAACTGGCCGCTTTGCCTTATGTAGCTGAAGAAACCTGAGAAAGCTGTCCCTATTTGTTCAGCTCCGGTGTTGTGTTTTCCTCAAATTGAGAAAGACCAGCCTTGACTGTCCCTAGGCGGCTACGAGGCACCGGCGTCGAGGCAGCTGAGACTAGCTACTGCGGGGGCGGAGGAGGTGCGTGTGTTTCCGCACCCCACCACGATCCATGAAACGGCCTGGAGAAAATCACGCGTGGATGCTTGACTTGATGGGGCACCAGTTCATCTTGGATTTGCAGCTCCCAGGAACATAGAAACATATGAAATCTTCCCCATGTTCGGAAAAGTCAGAA